ATGGGCTTCTTGGCTCTTCTGGTGAAGGGCCTGATAGTAATAATCCATCTCCTGCCTGTGGGCCCTGATGGTGCGAAGCCTGCTGACTTCTGCCTGGAGCTCCCCTACCTGGCACTCCAGAGACCTCACTAAGGAGCAAACCCCACAAACAGGGGTGCCCTTGCTCCCATTCCCAGTTGATGGCAGCCATACCAGGCGGCCCCCACAGCCCGGGGCCATAGGCTGTCTCTGGGTGCTGAGTGGAACCATAGGCTCCATCTGGGTAGAGACCTCAGTGGTGCGAGGTGGGGGGGCTCCCGCAGGAGGAGAAATGGGAATCTTTGGGGTAATGCATGTCCCCAACATTATATGGCGTAGGCTTGGCTACTACCAGACTACCTGAGTTTTTAGGCTTACTGCCCAGAACCTCATGCCCTTACCACAGAAACTACCACGCAAACTCCTATGCTAACTATATTCCCAGGCCTACATCTGTATGGGAATCTTACTGCTCATTGAACCAGGACTTCCACTTCCTAGCACAGTCCTTTAATTCCCAGTTCCTTGGGATGCTACATGTCCTGGGCCCCCTAACCCAGATGGGTATTGAATGAAGGACTCCTTTGTTTCCCAGCATAGCATTCTGATAAACACATCGCATGCCAGGCATCCCTTGTCCCTATCTCCAGCACTCTTTTCAAGTTGAGCCACTCTCATAGACATTGGAAAAAATGGATGGAAGGAAAGAAGGACAGGAACTTTTGTCCCACTGGGGACAAGGGACCAGGCTACAACTGAAGGCTCTCTTATTTAGGGCTGTGCAAAGCCTCGGGCTGTGATTCAGATTCGGAAATGATTTGGATGATTTGGAGGCTGAATCAGCATGTCTGAATTGAATCTCCCACTGTTTTAGGCTTTCCAAAGCTCCGAATCGATTAAAAAAAGATTCCTCAATTTGGAGATTCAGAGGGCTGTCTGTATGGGGAAACAGAAACTTAGAAGAGGGAGGGGGAGCAAGGGGGGAAAGACTGACATGTCTAGGTGGCCAGCGAGCAAGAGTTCACTCTGACTGCCTTTCCAATGACAGTGTCTGAGGGCAGGGACATGGAAACAGCATAAAAGCCTCTGTGTGCAGGTATACTGTGCCTTTTGTAAGCTGGTTCTGTCTGAGGAACAGCGTGAGAAAGGTACCGTGCACTGCCTGGCTTGCTTTATAGTCAGGAGTCCTGTCACCATGAGCCCAACCCGGCTGGGTGGCAGAGCAGCCCCAGGAATGGCAGGACCCGGCTGGGCCCGGCACACGGTCCCCATGTGCCGTGCTGGGTCCTGCCACCATGAGACCAGCCTGGCTGGGTGGCAGGAGGAGTCCCAGGGCCAGCAGGACCCGGCTTGGCTTAGTGCACGGTCCCCCAGCTGCTGCTGTGAAAGGTCATTTATGGGCCCTGGGT